AGCAGTGCTAAGGCAGAAAGCTGTTGAGATGGGCGCTAGTGAGTACGCTCAATGCGGTGGTGTGTGGAACAAGATTTGGTGCCGATGAACAAGCAAGCCAAGGTTGTGTCCCGATTCGGATGGTGATGAAGAGGAGGAGGGTTGTGGTGAAAAGATGAGCAGAGAGGAGAGTGCTAGCCAAGATTCACCTGTCATCAGTCACCATGCAGTGTTCTCAGGTCGCTGCCGCGCTGACCGTCGCACTTGCGCAGCTCCTGACCCGCCATGGCATGCATGCACTCGCGTCGGCGCTTCCTGTTGTCTGTGCATGCATGCCATATATCATGCACGGAAGCGCGCATATCGCCGCGCGCGCGCATCTGTACGCATCACCATGCAATTGTGAATGCATAGGCAGTACTACTAGTAGTAGTAGTATAGGTAGTGGCAGGAGCTGAGTAAGGGGATGCGCAGTGCCAGTGCCACTCAAGACTGCCCATCAGGAAGGTGAGGCTGTGCCGGCGGTATCTCATGGTGAGACTCGTACGAGAAGAGATAAACCGCTTGTGGACAGACACACGGCTGTGCTTGGGCCTCATTAGAGGCAGCGGCGACATGCAGTCAGCAGTACTCGCAGATGCATCCGCTCCATCCTTCCTGGACCTGTTTATCCCCTTCTCCTTGAATCTGGTCATCGCAAGTATATATCCACAGGTCTCGAGAGGACCAGTCTTCCCTTCGCTCCATATCATTCCCCCCCGGATGAGCAAGTGAAAGGAAGAGCTAGTGCACTCGGCGAACCATTCACAGCCTACCTCTCTCTAACCGTCATCTACTTTGCCTGCAGCCGAACGAAGGTCAGGCACTGCTTTGGGTACGATCACGCTCAACATCGGTGCGGTGGTCGAAGGCAACATCATGACCAATCCATCAGCACTGCACCAGCCTGCCCAGTACGATGCATCCAGTGCCAAATCTTCCAGCGCTGCTTCACCGGGCGTCGCGTCGCTCAGGTCTCGCTTCGAAGCTATGCAATCCGCCAGCTCGCGGCCACCAGTGCATACCAGCAACGGCTACATCAGAGGCCAGTCTTTCCCAGAGCAGCGCAGCAGCGTATCGAGCGGCGCTATGAATGGAAGGAATGCCGCTGCATCCAGCTCTATGCCTGCTCCGCCCATCTTGCGACACGGGCCTCGAACTCCACCCGCCTTGCCATCCACATCCGCTCCATCCATGTTCGGTGCGGAGCTGCCTGTGCCCACAGACAGCCCTACAACAATACAAAATCCAGCGAGCGGCTCCAGTCGCGCCCCCATCTACACAACCGAAAGGGGTCCCTTGCCAGACCCACCCAAAGAAAGAAGGACGCCTCCTCCACCTCCTGACCGAGCGCGCGCGAACGGTCAACCCGGCGCACAGGCTCAGTCACAGGCTCGCGCCTACAACAACGGCCCTGTCACCAGCTTCACTGCAGGCGAGCCAATGCCTGTCCCCACGTCTGCTGCGCCGACCTGGCTCCACGCTGCGGCTCCTCGAGTGCCTGTTCGGTCTCGTGGCATGCTTCCACGTGACAGCAGCAAGGCTTCTTTAGGATCCATGGCGGCCATAAGCATGGAATGGGCAGAGGAAACCGACGCACGCAGCGCTGCGGACTCTGCTGCTGCTGCGTCTTTGCCTTCCAGAGGTAGAGCATCAGTGTCGTCCTCTACCAGCTCCACCATTGGTCGCCCTCCCATACCGACCCGTCCAGCGGCGACTCAATCAGCATCTCAGCCCAATTTGGCTAGTCGTCGCCCAGAAGCTAGCGCTTCTCAGACACATTTGTCCCCGCCCCTGCCTGCTCGTCCGGTCGCTTCGACCGCGCATGTCGGCAGTGCACGACCTTTGAGCACCACGAATGCTCCTCCGATCCCGCCATCTAGGCCAAACTTTACCTCTGATTCGCCAGACACGATCAACAAGGCTCGTCCTCTTCCGCCACCTTTGCATCCGTCGCTCGCCTCGCAACATGGCGCCTCACTGCCTAGTGGTAGCAAAACAGCTCCGGTAACACGTCTGCCTTCTCCGGATCTACCTCCAACAGCTAAAGATGCAGCAATTCAGCTTCCCCCTCCTCCTCAACGCGCTGCTGCCCGTTTGAGCCCCGATATTGGGGGCGCAGCCTTGCTCAAGCCTGGTTCGTCCAATCGTTCCAGTACCTCGACGCCCTCTGGTCGAAGCAGCTCTCATGGCATGTCACCGGACGAGCTCGAAGAGAGCAGCGAGTCATCGGGAGATAACGAAATCTCGCCGACTACTTCAGGACGTGCTGGAGTGGCGATAGGCCACGCACATATGTTTTCTTCATCGCCAATATCCAGGCAGATTTCCTCCGGCGAAGCTCCTCACTTTGCAGCCTCCCTTCCTGATGCCAGTAGGATCAACCGGCGACCTCCCTCCCTGCCCTCCTCGACGACTATCCTCAAGAACAGCTTTGTGTGCGCAGCGCAGCGAGGCAAGACTTTAGTCACTGCTCATCACAGCGGCGAAAAGTTGAGGGTGTACAGGGTGGGAGTACCTGAAGGAAGGGTCAGCTTGGAGAGTGGCTGGCACGTCAATTGCTTGCTATTTGTGCCACCTGCTGCTGGAGCTGCCAAGTTGGCTCACGAGATCCAAGAAGCGCAAGAGAGGTGGTTGTGGGCTGGAACGAAAGAGGGACACGTCCTCCTCGTCGATTGTGTAGAGGCAAGAGTGGTCAAGCATCATAGCCTGCATGGGGAGGCTATCAGACTGCTTAGACGCGTCGGCAGCAACGTTGTCGCGGTGGACGAGGGCGGAAAGGTGAGTGGAGCAGCTATTCTACCCAAGGGATGCAGCTCACATCTCGGTCTTTCTTTGTGCTGCTTCAGATCAGCGTCTGGCCGGCCGCTCGCGTTGACGGATCGAACCTTGACTCGCCGCCGATCACGCAACGCATCTCCCTCGAGAAAGCTTCGACCATCTTCATCGTTGGCGATCAGCTGTGGGTCTCGTGCGGACCCGACACGCGAAGCGGCGTGACTTCGAGCGGAGCTCATGCGAAGAGCACGTTGAGGATTAGAGTGTTCAATCCGTTGAGCGAGACGCAACCTTTCAATGCGGTATCGAGACCTGTTGGAATGACGCCTGATCAGCTCAAGGAAGGCGTCGGAGCTGTCACTGCCGGGACCGTCATACCTTCCCACTCGGACAAGGTCTATCTTGCGCACGATTCTGGACATGTGAGTACATACGTGCCTCGCGGTCGCTTCGAGGCTCGGACGGGGAGCATACTGACGTGGCGCTACTTTGTGACCTGTGATTGTAGATTTCGGTCTGGTCACGATCGACGTACTCTTGCGTCGTTGTGCAGAAGGTGCTTCCGCATGGCATCAGCGCTCTCCTAGGTGTTGACAACGTACTCTGGATGGGCAGCAGGGATGGCTTTATACACGTGCTGGACGTGTCTGGGCCCGTACCGTGGGTGTTCCTCAAGCGATGGAATACCGGCGACCCCGTGGTCAGCTTGCAAATCGAGACTTCTTCACTCGACATTGGTCAAATGGTGGTGCTCTCCACTTCTAGCGACAGCGTTCGAGCCTGGGATGGTACACTGGCGCAGGATTATGTGGACCAGAGGTTGTCGGAACCCTCGCTGGAAGCCCGATTCAGCTCTTTTAGACATCTTAGACTCCTTCAAGTGTCTTACAACATCGACTCGGCTTCGCCCGAAGCTCTAAATACTGCGGACAGCGTAGGTTGGTTGCGAGATGTTCTGACCAGCACACAGCTCCCGGACGTCATTGTCTTTGGACTGCAAGAAGTCGTCGACTTGACGGATAGGAAAGTGGGAGCGAAGAGCTTATTGCTGGGATCCAAGGCCAAGCATGCGCCCGAGCTGGCTGATCGCATATCGACGCAGTACAGGGCCTGGGAACAAAAGCTGGTGCAATCCGTCAGGGCAGTCATGCCGCCCGAAGAACCGTACGACGTCATAGCTGGCGGACCCATCTTTCTCGTGGGACTTTTTCAGATCGTCTTTGTAAGACGCAGAGAGATGGCCAGCGTGAAACATGCTGCTGTTGCCACCGTCAAGACTGGCTTTGGAGGAAGAGCGGGAAATAAAGGAGTGACCATCACTAGATTCGTCCTAGATGATACCAGCATCGCATTTGCCAATTGTCACTTGGCAGCAGGTCAATCGAAAGTGAAGCAGAGAAATGCCGACTTGGCCGAGGTGAGTCAGGGATCTCGGCTGTGGGACGGAGTGCTCCGAATGGCATGACTGTCGCTCAAAGATCTTGCACGTTCCCCCTCTTACCTACTTGCCCCGGCTAGATCCTCGAAGCGACTCCTTTTGATGGCATCCTCGCGGATCCCTCCGCCTTTATGGGAGGCGGCGATGGAGCAATGCTCTGTGACCACGAGGTGAGAAGTACGCCGGTTTTCCCCTACTAGGCGCAGAAGACATTGTCCTCATCGTGCGCTCCTCCTTCCCTCTTGATCTCGCTTGCAGCTTCTGTTCCTCTCCGGAGATCTCAACTACCGCATCGACGAGAAGCGCTCGGCGTGCGTGGCACACGTGGAGAGCGGTCGACTTGACCCGCTCTTGACCAAGGATCAGCTCTTGCGAGAGATGCGACACAATCCCACCTTTCGATTAAGAGGCTTTCAAGAGGCTCCCATCACTTTGTGAGTTCTTTGAGCTACACGCATGTTGATCTGAACAGCACTGATAGGTACTTGTGCTTGCTCTTTGTAGCCCTCCGACTTACAAGTATGTGCGCAATAGCACGGAGTGGGACAATTCGGCCAAGATGCGCGTACCTGCTTGGTGCGATCGCATACTTTGGCTAGGCCGCGAAGCCGACCGCGTCCGATCGCTGCAGTATAGACGTTGGGAACCGATGTGCAGCGATCATAGACCCATGTGAGTACATGTAAGCGCTGAGCGATACATTTCAAAGATGTCTCGAGACTGACGATACTTTTTCCTTTTTGGCGCTGTAGCTCGGCTGCGTTCGATATTAGGATCAGACGCGACGACTTGTCCGAGAAGAAGGCTGCGCAGGCTCAAGTTGCCTACGAATGGCAAGCCGTACAGGCGCAGCTACTCAAACGTGCCATTGTGAGTTGTGGAGAAGGCTGGCACGAGCGCTTTCTTTGATTGATCTTACGAATACTGACGCTGCGCTGTGGACTGCTTGAATGCTTTAGAGCTACTATACCGCTTACTTGTGATGCGCTGCCGATGCTTGCATGCTTGACTCTCTTGCAATCT